CCTGATACAAGCCAGGATGCTGTTGGCCTTCTTGGCCACTGCTTGGGCACACTGCTGGCTCATGTTAAGCAGGCTATCAACCAACACCCCCAGGTCCTTTTTGGCCAGGCAGCTTTGCAGCCACTCTTCCCCAAGCCTGTAGTGTTGCATGGGGTTGTTGTGACCAAAAAGGACCAAGAAGGAATTAGGCATAATAGATTTTGCTTTCCAGAACTGCATCCTAAATACCAGTAGAGAACTGAACCTTCTTGTTTAGTTCCTGTCACCCTGAGGGGACAAGGAAGTCTCATCACACTCCTGTGAAGATATTCTCTTGAGTATCCCATTCGGTTGAAAAGAATTAACTTTTCAGGAAACATCTGGTGTCTACAGTTTTCCCTTGTCTGGTGATAATCACCTTTAGTTGTAAGACATTCAGGATCTAGTACTCTTCCAGGAAATATTTTAGTTTTTTACATTAACTGTAGTAGTGACAACAAAAAGATTGAGTGTGTCACCGTGACAATGTAATTACAGCACAATTTTGGGAGGAGAGAGACTTGCAGATTTAAATTCCTTCAGATAGAGGAGAAGACTCTAATGAATCTGGGATAAATGCCTGGCTACTGTCCTATTGGATAAAAAGGGTACTAGTACCTGCAGTGCTACAGCCTTTAACTTTTATCCCAAGTGACCCAAAATAAAACAAAATTTTGATAATTCCAGAATAGAAAAATATAACAATGAATTTGCTTTGGTCCCGCCCAATTCAATTTGTAATTTATTTTAATTTATTAGTGGAATCAAAATGTCAGTTGTTACTAATTGCAGGGCAAATGCTTGACAGGAAGAAAAAGAGACTGATTTCTTGCATGTATCTTTATATTTAATTACTCCCTTTATTATAACATAGATACTGATGTCTTTTAAGATGCATATCCCTAGAGTTACTGCAGGGAATTATTTTTTGTTTCTCCAAGGGGAAAGAGGCTCCTTTTCAGCACTTTGATCCTTCAATTCTTTTCCCCAAATCTCGGGACTACTGGACCTACCATGGTTCGTTCACTACACCCCCCTGTGAGGAGTGCATCACTTGGATTCTCTTGAGGGAGCCGATTGAAGTCAGCTCAGACCAGGTAAACTCCAGCTAGTTCTGCTACTCCTCTGCCAGTTCTCAACAGTGTGTCAGTATGTCAGTGTGATGATTTGGAAGCTGTATGTTACCTTGTCTTTTTTGATAAGAAAAGGTTTAGCTGAGGACTGTGAGAAATTGCTACAGAATGGACTGTTGAAAGGGACTGTAAAACTGACCTTGAGAATCAGGCTCTCTTCCTAGACACCTCCTGGAATAGCTTTAGCAGGAGTGTTCTTGGGATCCTGAAAACCTGCGTACGCAGGTTTGTGCCCCCAAGCCACAAAATTCAGCCATCACAGCAGTGTCAGTTCATTCTCTGGGCTTCAGCATTAAGTGAAAAGTGAGACTAACATTTAGCCGGTTTCCCAGTTTAAGAAATTGCTGGTCCAGATCTTGACTTCCTAAAAACTGTCAGTAAGAAGGATCAAACTAGCTAGAACCTGCAAACCTGAATGTTAATTAAAAATTAATGTACTAATTGTATTCATATAGCTCAAACGTGCATTTACATTTACACAGGAAAAAGAATAGAGAGCCAGTCTGGATAAGGTGACCTTCTTTTCAGTTCTTGCGTTAAAACTTTTTGTTTTCTGCTTCAGCAGTACAAGTCAGGGTATATAGCCTTTTTACTGATTTGGCTGTTTTCAGAACAGATTTATTTTACATTCTGATGAAAGAGTAACAACAGCAACACTGAACTGAAATTAATTTGGAGAACAATGGCTAAGTGCTGAATTCGTGATTGAACTTAATGACCCAGTTGGGCATACCTTTCTCTGCCTTACAGAACAAAATATGAACTTCTTCAGACCAGCTTTTTCTATCAGACTACCTTGCCTAGACTTAGTTGTGCACTCTCCTTCACAGATAGCCATATTTTCACAAGTGATTTGACTGCAGTCCAGCTCCAGCAGGGTCACAGAAGGCCCCTATTCTTTTTCCACATTGTGAGTGGGGGTCATGGAGAAATCCGAAAAAGCCCAGGCAAGGGATCATATGATGCACTATTCTGTGGATGAAGAGTGTAAAGATCCACAGCAGCAGTGCTAGCTGTTGGGCTGCAGTGGTCTCTACCAATAATCTCTACCATTATGTTTGTCATTATATTAGAAAATTCCTTTTCTGTCTCAAGAATTTGTTCTAGACATCAAGGTCCACACTGCTTCCAGTTGAATTCACCCAGACACTTTAATTTTCCTTCCTTGCAGATGGCGAAGCTCCGTAGCCTTTCCAAGAATGGTGAGAACGAACCTGTGAACCCACTGGTTGATAACTGGCGCCCACTTCAGCCTCTGAAGGGCAGGGTAGTGAGAGCCTCCTTCAAGTGAAGTCTCAAGTCTCACTCTGAAAAAAAATCCCTGTATCCCAAAGTGTAGTTAGTTTTTGCTGTCTACTGCTTTTCCTCTGGATCCAGATCTGTGTTTCTCAGCTTGAAATTCTGAGTAGTAAAACTGAATCTGATTTTGAAAGCAGAAAAAATACTGTACGCAAATACTAACCTTAATATGGAAATGTGAGAGATACGTGATTCTTGACCACAAATGCCTCAGCATTTGTGATAGTGTCACATCTCTGCCACGTGGTCTTGGAAATAAAAATGGGCTTAGTTTCAATATTTAAAATTAATTTCAAATGAAATGTAGTAAAGGCAGAAAAATGAACCAGTAGTTCAGAAAAGCAGAAATAACAGTGGGTCAACAGTACAGGAATAGAAGCTAAAATGCCTGCTCCTGCAGCATCTCTAGTAGTAATCTTCCTCAGATATCCCATGTCCAGTGTGAACATCCGAAGAGTAAGTTCCTCTTTAACATACCAGATTTTTCCTTCCCTCTCTTGTTCATTGTTTGTATACAAGATTAGATTAGTATTCTGGGGATACAATCAGGCATACTCAGCTTCTGTGTGTGAAGATGACAAGATACCTTGCTGTCATTTCAGCATTTACTGGCTTTGCTGTGTCCTACTGCTGCTCATCAATCTTTTCTTCTTTCACTACTGCTGTTACTTCACCCATCCAGCTGTAGAGTGCTGCTGGTATCATGTTGCCTTGTATTTAGTACAGTAGCTTTAGTATTGCTGAGGGGCAAGTGCCTTTTGTCTGCTGCTCTGACTATGTTACCTCCCAGGATGATGGATTTTTAGTTTTGATGCTCTGCCTGCTTTTTTATTTTTGACATCTTAGTCTGCATATTAATGATTTCAGCTGTTAGGGATTCTGTTGCATATGGAGAGGGTCTTTGTGGGTGACTCATATGTGTAATTTGTTTTCCCCACTACTGAAAAATCCAGGTTAAGTCACCTAAGTGTTTGTTTATTGTGACTGTGTAGTTAGACTCTAAGTGGAGTCTGTTTAGCTCTGTTACTTTCTGGGGAGACACATCAGCTTGCACATATGATCTGAGAACGGAATCAGTGGCAGACAGAAACTTCTAAATCATCTTCCCCTGTCCTTCATCATGTAAACTCCATCATCTCCGCATGCATCCTAAACAGCCTAACACAAGTACCTTCTAGGTTGAACCCACATGCAGGCTAAATGAGTAAAGATCTGCTACGTTGTAATCACCGTCACGGTGATTATTCACTATTGTTACATACAGGAGATTGGGTGGTCAAAGATGGTGTCCATAAAGCCTCCTGCAAATAAAGCTTCCGGATTCTCTGTATTCCTCTAATTCATCAGTAGGTGGCAGAGGGCGTTCTTCTGGAGATGTTGCCACAAACGTGTTCACAGCAACATTTATAAGGGATATGTCAGGCTGAAAAAAGCAGGGTTACAAATGGCTTGAATAGGCATTTCCCAGTTCTCCTTCACTATTTCACTTTTCACCTTTACTAGAAAAATGGTGCTCCAACAGGGAAGTAATGAATGGGCAACATTGGACAAATTCTGCTGTTATTACCAGTGCAATTCAGTGAGAATTCAGGAATGAAACTGAGGGCAGAGTTTGATCCTTTGTATTCATTTAGAAATGTTCAAAGAATTTCTGGATTCCCATTGAGCATTAATATTTCAGTTTATTAGAAGTGTATTTTGCTTAGTGTAAAGCAGTTTCATTTTAAAAACCAAGTTCATGTCAGCAGAAACTAAAGTGTTGATTGAATCCTGTTTACAAATGTTTTGGCATTGGCTTAATTTTACCAGAAGATCATCTTTTGAAATTACAAGTGCAGCACTTGCAACAGTATTGATTTTAAGAGTCTCTTAGATCTTCTTTAAACTCCTGAATCTGTACATCTTCTCAACACATAAAAATGTTTCTACAGGAAGCTCATAAGCAACTTTTTTTCTACTGTACTATGTCTTACATGTAAAATGTCTTCTCATATCCATATGCAGTTGATCTTGGTGTTGAGAATATTTCAACACAAATAACTGAGACAAGAATCTCAGTCTTTCTACCTAAAGCCATTGACTGTGATGTTTTAATCTCTTGTTATTGGGGCAATAAAACAAGATTAGTTGCCTGCACTTGAAATAACAGCTTTTGTGTCTTCAGAGAACCAATAAATTGACTTACATAAAAAATGGATTTCTGGTTTTATTTCTAATGCTGAGTGTTGATTAAAAGTAACAAGAACCTACTAGAAAACTTTGCTACTTTTTTTTTTTTTTTTTGGTATGTATGCTTGTAATACAAGGGTGGACAGACACTCTAGTGTAATCACCTTTCTAGCTGTTGGAGTTTAGTTTAATATCTCATCCTGGTTTCTGTGTATCCAATCAAACATGTCCTCAAAAATATGAGACATCGGAACAGTATCACTTGTTCTTTGTTTTCAGGTACAAAAAAAGTGTTTATTTCTTGCCTGGACACAAACATTCTCATACGTCTTCCCAAAATTCATACATTCATATCTGATCTTGAATATCATTAACTTGGATATGAATTTTGGTTTCTTGCAAGAAGCACATGGATCAGTTAGCTGAAGTGTTACATCATGCTGAAATTTCCTAGTTTATACTTTTAAGCATGCAAATTAAACTTTTTCAAGTGAAATATCATCTTAACTGCCCACAAAGTCAGATACTGAGTGCACTTTGCTTTATTTGCACGTTTCCTCTACTGCTTTTGGAAGGCAGACTAGGCAGAAGTTTATCAACTACTGGCACAGTAGTTTTGGTTCCAACAGCAAACACATGCTTTGCATGTTGGCACAAAGGAAAATACAGTCCAAAATTTATATTATTCCCTCATGCATTTGCTCTGATTCCATTCTGTCTTCAAACTATTACTACACAAAAACATCAACCTCATCGCAAATATGCTTTACACTTTCGTTTTTGTCCTGAAGAATAAAGCGCAGATAGTTTTGTTCCACTGCCTTTCTCTCTTTGATGAATAGTGTAGCTTAGTATTGATTACTTTGATAACAAACTAAGAATATGTTATGTGGACTCTAACCCTGCTGCCTCATCTATCTCAAACAGAGAAAAAAGCCTCTGGGCACTGATGAATTTAAAAAACAGTAAAAATTACCCTAATCAGTGTGGTGCACTAAATCCTTGACTATTTTAATGTATACAATGTATATATTAATTTCATCAGGGCAGGCAAATGATTGAAATGAATTACCACCTATTAGGTTTTGACAGACACTGAAACCCTCCCAGCTTCCCACATCTCACAAGAGCAATTACTAGAAAATTAAAAGCTTATTCCTGCAGTTTCAAAGCTTTTTTATTAATTGAAACAAGTTTCCCACCAGCTGTGGCCATCTTTCAGTTGGGTGTAAATTCATAACTGAACTGTGAATTCCTAGTATGACTCTCGGCATACAACCAGCTATGGTTATGCATTTCTACTACAAAATGAAAATAATATATATTATTTTTACTGTATCTCAAAGACAGACTCTCCTTGATCTGCTTGCTGATGTTTATCTGCTGAGTAATTAGTTAAAGTATGTTCATATTGTCAGTGAGTTTAGCAAAATAATACCTATTTCTTCCTGAGGCATTTTGTCCCATGCCTCAGCAAAGGCAGCAGCTATACAGCGTGTGTTCCACCTCATCGATCTGCCTTTCATCTCAATGAATTCTGGCATTTATCTTTGCCAATATTGCAGCACAAAACATGTATTCAGGAATTATTTTATTTCCAAAATGAAGAAATTAATAGAATATATTATAACATTTTCCCCCCCAAAAAAGGGCAGCTAACGTACAGCTAATGATGAATTACAGATCAAATCAGACTCACCTTTTCTTTAAGAACATATTTTTAGAAGTGTCTTCTTTTCAGTTTAGGGCTGCTGCACATGTTGATTTGCAAAAATGTGCAATAAAATGAAATGGACCAGTTCAGGGTTATTTGTGAGGGAGAGACCGAAAGGCTGTAAAGTTTTGTGTTCATTACAACACAGAAACAGATTTGAATACAGATGGAGACCTTGTAATATTACTAGGGAA